TACACACACAATTAAAGAACAAATTCCTGGTAGCTGAGAGAAAGGTTATCAGGAAGATATTGGGACCAGTCCTGTACTGGTGAAATTACAGACATGGTATTGTCAACTTAATGTCTTAGAGTGACGGGCGCAGTGGCAGCTTGAAGTGGTACCGCAACTGTTATTAGGCGTGTCACTTACCACTAGACGCATGTCTTGTTCGTCCAGTCACTAGTATCATAAAAATAGATTGAAGAGGGCACGGCAGTTGAAAAGTCCGCACTAATGCCGAATTGACTCATAGCCTGGACTATACAATAGGAGACGATCGAAACATGAAGAGATTTAAGAACTAGTTCAGGATATGGTAACCTGTATTAACATTAGACGTAACTGTTTGATGATTTTGTTATCTCAGTCAGCCGTTAGAGATGTGGTGTGGAGTGTCCGAAACGCTGGTTTCTTTGAAAAATTAGTACATTGTAACTGGCAACGAGATTGCTTTATTTGAACTTGATGTAACTGTTGGTTAAATGACACGATTTCAGAGAGACAGTATAGATAAACAGAAACAGCATTTATGTTAATATTATTATAATGTTCAAATTAATTTAAATTTAGCAAACAATGGAATAGGAAAGAATTTTCGAAGTCTATTATATATTTCGAGGTGCCGGAGAACGAAGGAAAATTAAGAGAGTGACTAATAAAGAGATACTTACTGGTTAGAGGGAAAGAGAATATAAGTAACCTGAAACTAAGTAAGTAGCACTAGAGCTCCTTGTGAAAGAGTTCGTCCAGGGTAGTGCTACCTTACCTATTTCTGCCGCCAAGCAGTAATTTGAAGCAGGTTTTGAAGGGTAAGGGTGCTAATGAAGTTACAGACACATGGGACTTGACAACTTATGTCTCAGGGTGACGGGCGCAGTGGCAGTGCCCCTCAGATCTTAAAATCTATGAATGGCACTCAAAGTGGATTGTGGCTAGGCGTGTCGCTGACCACCAGGCGCTTGACTTGTTCGTCTCGTCACTTGTTTTTATAAAAAAAACACGCAAATTAGATCCTAAAGAAAATATTTGAGTCGGCAGTGGACAGACAAGGATAAGTCCAGTTAATGGTCCTAGGTATTGCAGGATCGAAGAGAGTGAGGTAATTTAATTTCCGAGGCTTTTTCTGTATTACCTATGTAGACAGCAAATGGATAGCGGTCACCGTCGCCTATGAACGCCTGCAACACCAGGGGTGTCGCGAGTGCATTGCCAACCCCTTAGGGCCCTTCTCAAACCCCTTTTGAAGGACTCCATGCTGTATACCTGCGGGAAAACCCCGACAGGGAGTTCATTTCACAACTTAATTGTACGTGTGAGGAAGATCTTCTGAAACCGTTCAGTACGAGATCGGTTTGGTTCCAGAGTGTGAGGATGGATTCCCTGCCGGTGGCGAGAGGTGCGATTGTTAAATGCAGAGTGAGCGGAGCAAGTAGTATAATGTTTATTTCACAAAATGCTTCACCCGTGTCCAAAGGCAACATAAATATAATATACATTTTTAACTTTACTTTTACAGTAGTTACAAAGAAAAACAAATTTTACGATTCTGATATATCTCTGAAAATCATCTATTCAATCCTACATAATTCCAATGACGTCATTGCGTGTAAGGTAAACTTTATTTTTCTGTATTACGAGGACGATTTTTCAAACTTGTTCTTTGTCAGTATTGCTTTATTTTGTTCGCTCGATACACGTTCGCCGACGTGCAAATAGAAGATTGGCTCTTGAGAATTTTTGATAAGGGCTTTTAGCACGCTTTAGAGTTTGTTAGATAAGCACAGAGGATATAACATAGTGGGAGAAATGCTTTGCCTTGAATATAGAAACCTGCTAATCTTCGGTATAAAAAATACACCTTACTTTATATTACCGACCCGTGTTAAAAATTTACTACATTTTTTAGTACTCGCAAGCAAAGATCCTCCTTTTATCCTTCTTATAAAAATACAACATGGCTGGGCCGTTAGAAATAAAATGTTTCGTTTCATGCATACCAAAGTGCTTTTAATTTTGCTTCTATTAAATGAGACATTAAATATAAGAACGAACTGCTTGTAGAGGTTGGTTCACCTCGGATTTTATAATTATATGAACATACATAGTATAGTATTAAATAAAACGTAATTTGCTTGTGATGATTTATTTCTCCAGCCCGTATACGATGGAAAATGTGAAAATCATACAAAAACATTTCGCGCTTATTTGTATCATTTTTTCCCGCCAAAACCACCAAACACCACAGATGAATACGTGTAGTTTTGGCAGTATTGGCTATGACCAACAATAATACTAAAAGATGATAACCGATGGCAGATTACAAACAAAGGCTATTGTAGCGTTACAGTCTATGGCATTAAGAAATAATAATTGGCAACACCGATATAAAAGTGAAACGTCATGTGCAATTCCGCAATTTTTAATTTCTCCACAATAATAAAAAAATGGCGGGTTTTTGTAGTTACAGTTTTGTCACAAATTAATTTTTAGTTTAAATGTTATTACGTTTTAAAATGAAACTATTTTTTCGGATTTAAATCGCGTATTTTTGTTTTTTCAAACAAACCGACGTTTCGGGCCCTGCACAGGTCCCATGATCACGGTTGTAAAGGGCCCGAAACGTCGGTTTGTTTGAAAAAACAAATATACGCGATTTAAATCCGGAAAAATAGTTTCATTTCCTATGTGTAACAATCGCGAAAACCTAAGAACTCGATATTACGTTTTGAGTTTCTTAATTTTTTATTACGAGATGGCTCTATAGCCAGTGCTTAACAAATAAATTATAATAATAATTCTCAACAATAACAACATTTAATTGAATAAATTTATAATGAAAAGGTATAATAATTTCAAAAGTGTAGGTGTAACAAATACATTTCAATTACCATTGGTACCATGCTCAAAAAACAAAATATATATCTATTCTAATATGTACCTTTGGTTTTTATGTTTAATTTGTACAGCAATTTAATCCGTAAGCGGCATAAAGTGGAATTTAGATGTTAAGTGTTAACTTTGACCTTATTGTACATATAGACATATTTTAACTTACAAATAAAGAATTTTATTACCTTTTTTTGTTACCAGGTAACGCGACAAAGAATGAGTCGTATGCCTAGTGGTCTATAACATAACGACACGCCTGTCCATAACAGTTGCAATGCCACCCAGAGCTTTTAATCGCAATGATCTAAAGGGCACTGCCACTGTGAAATTACAGGTACATATGCCTGTAATTTCACTAGCATCCTTGCTCTTCTAAAACCGGAACACCGTAATGCTCAGACTACTGCTTGGCGGCAGAAATAGGCAAGGTGGCAGTACCTACTTCCCTGGGCGAACTCTTTCACTAAGCTATACCCAATATATACAATATAAAATTATACCCATTCCAGAGCTCCGGTTACACTAACAGCTTCTGAATCCATATCAAAGTTTATCGAACGATAAAATAATTAGTTCATTATAACTTTATAATCGACGATATTAGCTCGTGAAATGAAAACTCCAATAAGTCAGCTACGAAGCCAGTTAATTAGAACTGGAAATTGTACTAGAGCTTAATTTTGGTATCATATCGATTTAATAACATTGTTTAATTAGTGAAGGGACATTATTGAGTAAAGACAGTTATTAGAATATTTCAATGTTTGTACATAATAAATCAAAGACAAAAAACAGATATATTACAAGAAGAAGGACACGTGTGGGAGACGGACGGAACCCTGTGGTACATCGGCATTCACAGTCATGCTCATGAACCTAAAAACGCAGCTGCAGCAGCAGGCCGGCCAACCGGGTACTTAACTGAGCTGGCAAACCGTACCAAATGCTTTAACTTAAATTTCAATACAAGTAACGATGTAATTGTTTTTGTGTAAAAAAATAAGGGATGGCAGGTGGAGGCCGACTATTACGTAACATAGGAACACTGAAACCCGCAAGTAATCGGGCCGCGACTTTACGAACACCTACCCACAAGTCTAAAAAGTGTTACAAATGACGAAGTGTTTTGTTCCCGACTGAAAGACCTTTTATTGGATAATGAATTCTACAGTGTAGAGGAATTTCTTTTAAAGAAATTGTAATTATATTTTTAATTTTGGAAGTTTGTATTTTGAAAATGTTAAATTTTTATTTGTATTTTAGTAGTTCATATTTTTCTTTATTTCTCTTTTAATTATTTTATTTTATATTAACAATAAAATTATTTTTTACATTAATGACGATCATGTTACCCCTTGACATTATATTTCAAAATGTGATAATATGAAATAAATTATTCTATTCTATTCCATGAATTGTTCCAAAATATATAAAAAAATATTCTTAATTGTATAAGTTGTAGAATATCTCAAATTGACATTTATGATTGAAATTCAACTTTATGACGCTTGCAATAGGAATGGGCCAAAGTTGTCGTTATATTTATATAAAGAAAGAAATGAGAATATGAATACATTGGAGTGTAGCGGAGTAGGAATATAAGAATTCCGTGATTTCACATTATAAAGTGTCCAGCTATATGTGCTCTTGACTGTGTTTAATGGAATACATTTTTGACTGCCTTTTCAATAAGCGGCTTTATATAAAATATGACTGATTATAGTGCCACTTGCCCACGAAATAACGAGACTAGTGTGTGTAAATAACGAACAAGTGTACCTTGGGTTGTTGATGATGGTGAATACCTATTCAATGCCCGACCACCTTAGTGAGTCAACTCTGTGAGCGTTAAATCTTGAATTCAACTCACGGTGGTACCGACTTAAGAAACGAACTTTTCAAAATTATTCCTATTTGGTGTTCTGGGTAATTTGGTTGCTTTGGTAAGTTTGAGGTCAGGTACCGGGTCTGTCTGACACATTATTATACGTTATGTATCCGACGTAACATCGATTATGTATCGATAACTTTATAAAGTTAGTGCTGTCCATCTCTATCGATAATTGTTACGCTTTAAAGAACCCAGCTTGAAGTAACAATTTCATTCCTAATTGGAGCAATTTTCTCCGGCTGGTTGCAGTTTAAAAATGATTTCCTTCTCGACTGTTGGTTTCGTGGTGAGTTACACTCTACAATTGCTATTTAAATTATTTCAAGTTATTTCATTATCGTTTTTATTTTTCCGGTTAATAATAAAGACTTAATTGCTATTTAAATTATTTCAAGTTATTTCATTATCGTTTTTATTTTTCCGGTTAATAATAAAGACTTATCTGACATTTTAGCTTGTCGATCTTCTTTTTAAACATTAGCCAGAGGATGGAGACAACTCTATATATCTTTTTTATTTTATTGGATAAGGTACAGCAACGGATTACACATCAGAATATATATCAACAAAAACTATCCTACATATAGGAATATAAACCTGCAATCCAATTAAAACTATACAACACTTTAGTATAAACTGTGACATTAATGCCTTGAAGAAATTAATTAAATATACTTAACAAATAAAAACAATGCAACGGAATGAAGTTGGTGGATTGGAATTTAGGAATATTTTAAAAGTGTCATTACTATCATTATATAGATCATGGTTAGAACAGATATCATTGTAATAATTATGTACACATTCTGGACATCGGGTTCTTACTCGAAACATTGTTGACAGAATGTGGAATACAAAAGAGTTGCATTACATTACATATAATTAATAATAAATAATGTGAAGAATAAATGACGTACAGACTCATAGCGTCGCACTCTAGGGAAGCCCTGTCTTACAGGTGCCATGGACACTCACATAGACAACCATAAATTACACCCAAACTCATGAGAGAAAAAAATATACGAACAAATATTTCTCCCGGCCCGGGAATCGAACCTGGGACCCCTGCGTGGCAGTCCGGCATGGTAACCGTTCGGCCACGGAGGCAGTTATATATCATCTGTAATAAGTTAACGCCTGCAATCTATTTTTGTTTTTACTCAGACTGTGTGTGTATGTGAGTGTGTAGGTGTGTGTGGGTATGTTAATAATATTTTTCGTTTATTCTAAACCATTACGGGCCATGGCGCATATCGGTGAAGGCAATGTTTGTTAGCCTTCTATAGAGTCCAAAACCATATTTTGACTAGTGTATTTATTCATATTTTCTTTTTCTTGATTTTATACCCAGTTTCATCGCATGTAACTACTTATACTTAACATCTGTTTAAAAAATCGAGTACTATTAAAAATTTTGTTCAGATCCTCGTATTAGTTGCAAATGGCCTGAAAGCAAGGCAAGAGTTCGACAAAATCGGTAAGAATTTGAATATTATAGTCATTGTTTCCACTAATCTGTGACTTATGTTACGTACAGCGAGTCCGAGAAATATCTGTTTTCACCGGTCAGGTAACCTTTTATTGTAGAGCACTGCTGTACGCATAAACATTTGGCTTACAAAGTGGCACTACACTACAAAGGAAATGTAAAAAAACCGTAATGAAGTATTTTATGAGGCGTTACCTGGTCACTTATTATAAAATTATTAGCAAGTGCTACTTGGACACCTTTCTGCTAAGTTAAAGACTCCAGAGAGTCCAGGGAAGTATTGTCAGTAATGTGAGCATTACTGCGTTCCGGTTTTGAAGGGTAAAAATGCTGGTGTACGTAATCACAAGCACCTGGGATTTGCCAACGTGTGTTTCAGGGTGACGGGCGCAGTGGCAGTGGCTCTTAAGATCGTATTCTAGAACTCTACTCAATGCTCAAGTCAGGATTTGAGTATGGTTTAAAGCACTCGAAATCATACTCAAGTCCCTGCCATTAGGATCGTATTTCCAGTGCTTGTGTTTCCATTGCAATCCTGACTTGAGCATTGAGTAGAGTTCTAGAATACGACCCTTAGATCTTTGCGATTTAAAGCTTTGAGAGACACTGGAACTGCTATGGACAGGCGTGTCGCTTGCTACCAGGCTCTACTTGTTCGTCCTGTCAATTTGGTGTTATTAAAAAGTTATGGTGTTGTTTGTCGTATAAAAAAGGAAGGCTTCATATGTGACCAAGTACATTTATACATAGCGTAATTTTCTGACATAGTTATTTGTTGTACTCTAATTTCTTAAATTCAAATATGATTTTATTTCAGAAAAATTGATTTCAAGTTTACCCAAATCGGATGAGAGTGATGAAGATATGACTCCTGGTAATAAATTAATACATGCATGGAATACATTAATAAGGATTCCAAGAAATTTTGTTCATAATATAAATTCATAGGTTATTTCTTTAAGTTCTTAATCAGATTAAGAACTGGGACTCTTGTCTACAGTCTACAATAATTCGGATTAAAGTCAAAGTTAAATAATTATTTATTCCATAGGTAAAATTATTACACCTGAAAACGTAATTTTTTAAGCTGCTGCTCGTTCACTGCGCTGACCTCTCTGAGAAGAACAAGCAAGAAACTTTAGGGATTGCTCTTTTCAAATAAACTCGAAAGGCTATGGAAAACACTTTGAATCGTAATTGTGTGTAATCTAGGCTCATATTGTCTTTCCATCTTTATTTAACACATACTCTTCAATTTCGTAATATTATGATTTTTCAATTAACTTTAGTTTAACGAAAACGTGATACCATGAGTTTGGACTTAATTGTAAGGTTATATACATTATGGATATCTTCTTTCTTAATGAAGTTATGAATATTTTTACGGGCATAGAAAATATTTGATTAAATGTACTGTGCTGCCACAGTCATGATACCAGTCTTCTTAAACTTTTATCTGAGAGAAGCCCGAGAACCTAAACGGTACACAGAACGAATCGGTCGCTTTTGCAACACAAATATGGTTTATATAATTATCTGCCGCCTTACCTACATGAGAATCCCGTATATACGTTATACTATGGAAGTAACTAAAATAAACTAATCTAGCAGTAGCAACATCGGTAAGCTCACGTATTCTACGGACTGCGTATGCAGCAGAGGTTAATCTGCTGGCTAAAGAAGGTATATGTGGGAACCATAGAAGTCAAGAACCAAAAAGACAGCTTTATTAACGACATCTAAAATAAAAAGTTCTACGACAGTATGATCGTCGTCTTACTCGTTAGTATATAACGTACAGGAAAGGAATTATATGTCGTACGGGGAGGCTCCTTTCGTGCAACCCCTGTGTGCGCACCAAACGTTGTATTTAGATAAACAAATATAAATAAAATACATTATTTTTTTATTCACAGAAATGAATGAATTTCTGAAGTACATTGGTAAGTAACCTTAAAACATAGTATTACCATAAATTATTCTTCAAAATTCATTATTCAGTTGACAGTTTCCATGTGCATATTCAATACTGTGCTAATAGATGGCGCTCAAAAATAATATATGCTTTTAAACTTTCGCGTTGTATTGTACTAACATTTGGAAACGGGAATAAACGCGTTTACATATGAATATGTATTTTTTACACTATCAAGTTTCCCGACGTTTCGACCAGATTGCACTGACCGTGGTCACGGGGTGACTGGTGATGCGGTGTTTACGTCTCCATCTCGGCGGTGGGATTTTCATCCACCCGCATAACATTTTTTGAACTACCGCCACACACACAACACTAACGGTATCCTTATTCTGTATCACAACCAAATTCTGGTACGCAGTCGATCGCGAATATTGAGTTTTTGCAAACACCGGATTCCATGCTGCAGGTAATTTGATACCGTCCTCCGATTGAAATTATTAGGATGTTTCTTCGATTGCAATCACTTCACGAACAACTTTTACATAAAAGTGACGGTCGGTGGAGAGAACCTGCGTACGATGAAACTCAATCCAGTGATTTGTACCCCTGTCAAAGTAAATGTTCTCAAATCGCCAATGTAATAATACATTGGCGATTTTTTACAGCTACGATAAATAAGATGTGCCAAAAAGTTTTATTATTATTTCATATTTTAATTTGTCCAAAACTTCATTGTGATCTAACAAAGGCGTTTGATTGCATAGGAAATTACTTACTGGCTCAATTTGCTATGTGTGTTGTCATCGGATTTTTTTTAACAAACAGAAGGCAAACCGTTCAGATCAGTACGAACGGTAAAACAACTAGGTCAGATGCTGGTGATATCAACTCTGGTATCTCCCATGGATCGGTCTTAGGTAATACGCTATTCATAGCTTTTTCAACGATGCACTATACTCACAAACATACACTTAAATATACTTTATATAAGGGTGAGTAGTAGTTCTCTCTGCAGTCGATACAAGCATTGGAGTGTGTTTTAAAATATATAAGAGTGGTGCCACACAATGCGTTCCGGTCCGACGGCGTTGCCTGTGCGTGGACGCTGCGTTGCACATGAAATGTCGTAACTCAAAATTGTGGAATTGAGAAAAAATATAATATATTGCGAATAATGTTTTTATTTTTATATAATTTTTTTTTATAATATTATAAATATATATAATTTTCATTTAATTAGGTTTTTTTTTGGGTGTTCTGTCTATTCCACTACTTGAAGTTAGGATAGTGTTTGGTTTCCGATATAAATTAGATTAATGGGTTCCTGATTCTACGAACAGTTATCCGCAAATGTGTCTTACAAACGACAACACGTTTGATACCCGACTGAGACTCTTTTTATTCAATGAATTTCTTTCAAAGAAATTACTATTTTATTTGATGTCGTTGTATTTCTTAAAAAAATATTATATAAGTGATAATTTTCACAAAAAAATCTCCAAATTATATATAACGCTCGCACTCAACATAGCCCCGCATTAGGAAAACCTTGTGTCGCGGGTGCCATGGACACACACATAGACAACCACAAATTGCACCCAAACTCACGAGAGAAATAAATGTAGGCCATACAAATATTTCTCCCGGCCCAGGAATCGAACCTGGGAGCTCTGTGTGGCATTCCATCTTTCTGCAGATAAAACTCTTATTAAGTTTAAAGCTTTTCTAACCAACTTCAAAAAAAGGAGGAGATTCTCAATTCGACTGTATGTTTTTTTTGTATGTATGTTACGCTATAACTCCGGTATTTGTGAATCGATTTTCATGATTCCTTTTTTGTTGGAAAGAGGATATCTCCATAGTGATTCCATTTAATTTTGAAGAAAATCATCCACCTCTAGGTGTGGCTGGCCACGCATGAAGATTCATTTTTATAAATAGCGCCTAAATTTTATTATAGGGAGCAATTATTTTAATGGTTGATTTTGCTATTCTCCAATTCAAGGCGTTTTTCTTTCTCTCAATATACTTTGAGTAGTGAGAACCGATTTTTATTATCTCCTGTGTCAAGTCCCGTATAGTAGCGAACTAGGGGATGAATCTGTGTTTGCGCACTTTCCGGTAACCGATTTCAATAAAACTTGGTAATTATATGTAATTCCACGTACTTTTGAGGTCGGTTTTTTTAGTGCTCTGTACTGAGATTATTATTGTTATTAAGTTTTACGTGCAGAAACATAATGATTTTCTTACCATAGCAGCTATATAAATTAAAGACTTTTTGTGGAAAATGTCACTTACGTTGGTATTACCTTTAAACAGACGATATTTTTTGAATATACTAATTAGTTAGTAGCAGTAGAGCTTCTTGTGAAAGCGTTCGTCCAGAGAAGTACTGCCACCTTACCTATTTCTGCCGCCAAGCAGTAATGTCAGCTTTATTGTGTTCCAGTTTTGAAGGGTAAGGGTGCTGGTGATATTACAGGCACATGGGACTTCTCAACTTATGTTTCAGGGTGACGGGCGCAGTGGCAGTGCCCCTCAGATCTTTGCAATTGAAAGCTCTGAGTGACACTGTAACTGTTATGGACAGGCGTGTAGCCATCAGGCGCTCGACTTGTTCGTCACTTGATGTTATAAAAAAAAGTTTTAATTATTTTTTATTTTAGTGACTATTTTAGTGGTATTATCCCTTGACATTATATTTTAAATTGTAATGGTGTGGTACTGATAACATGAAATTTTTTTATTTTTTTATTTTAAGGGTATATTTATCATTTCAGGAAAGAAGGAGATTGAATCTTACAAAGATTACTTTCGTGAGTAATTTTGGGCTAGTAGGGCTGTTTCTTGTTGGATCAAATTACGAAAATAATGGTTTTTAACATTTGTATTGTCTGCTGTATTTTAAGGTCAGGAGTTGAGCAAGGACGGTACTTACAAACTTTTCTCATTGATTCTATATCTTTAACTATTGTGGAAAGTTTTAGTTGCGTAATTATTTGAGAATCCACTTTGAGGAAATAATTTAAACTGAGTGAAAAACATTCAAAATAGTTTATCTATTCATATAAAAGCTCATCGTGATTGAAATTCACCGAATATATAACTAGAAATAGAGACGAAATGTCATTTAATTTGTTTGAAAACTATTCTGCCATATCATTACACTGACAACTACGTACTGATTGGCCAGCCCCAATTCGAAACAATTGGCGGGTGTCGTCAATTGTTTCACGTCAAATTGACCAGTTTAACTTGACTTTTGCTATAAAGAACGAAAATTTATAAATTACATAATTTAATATTTAATTACCGATGAAATGTGATTCCGTTTGTTTTGTAATTAGATGTTTTGCTGTTTTTCCCCACACCACTGAATGGAACAGCACGCCATTGTTAGAGATATTATCTTTATTACAATAAATATAGAATATTTTTGGAATATACGAAGACCTACACACAGGTCAGTTGTTGGCGCTGTACTATTTCAGATTTCTAATTTGTTTTTTCAGCGCAAACGAGAGTTGATATTTATAAATGATTTAGTACCATTTGACTGATGAGTTGCCAGGAATGGATGGCCCTTATTTCGTCTCTATTTCTGGTTATATACTCGATGTTGAAATTTGACATTTCAAGTATGTCACTGTTATCCATTTATTATATTATATATTTATAACCGACTTCAAAAAAAGGAGGAGGTTCTCAATTCGACTGTATGTTTTTTTGTACGTATGTTACGGTATAACTTCATATATACTATACGGTATAAATTCAATTTTATAAATGGCGCCTAACTTTAATTTAGGAGCAATTACTTTAATGGTTGATTTTGCTATTTCTCCAATTCAAGGCGTTTTTCTTTCTCATAATACTTCGAGTAGTGGGAACCGATTTTTATTATCTCCTGTGTCAAGTCTATATTTCAATAAAACTTGGCAAATAGATGTAATTCCACGTACTTTTGAGGTCTGTTTTTTAGTACTCTGTACTGAGATTATTTCTCTTACTTATAGTATGAAGTAATTTGCGTATTAATAAATTTCAGAAAAAAAATCGGAACTGTTCTTCGAAGATTTATTAAAGAACCTTAAAAGCTTGAATGGTTAGTAACTGTTGGTAATTAACGGAGATTGGAAGTAACACATATAGAGTGGATAATACCTCCCTCTGACGTCCTGGAATAATTGTATTTTATTTTGTTTCCAGGAAAACAGTACAGGTAGTGTATTTATAGGAAAAGTTTTAATATTATAATATTCTAAGTAAAAATGCAACTATTATGCTTAGATTTTATGCCTTTTCATTTTAATAAATCCGGGATTCTGGTGGAGCGTATTATAACTCCTCTATATGTATTACCATTCCCCATTATTTCTTGATTTTAAAACAATCCTTTTTCTTTTGAAAACACATCACCATGTATGTAACTGAAATTGGCGATTTTTTTATTGGTGCTTTAGTTGTGAAATTGTATTAGTATATCCTATAAAGAAAAAAAATATGATTTCACATCACTCTATATTTTTATAGCAATAAGGCTAAAATATATCCCAGAATAGTAGCACAGCTACTCTGTACGCAAGTTCATTGGATAATAAAATCATTCGATGATTAAGTAACAAACCTATTTCATGCAATAAATTGCCATAAACAACTGTAATCATTTTGTAGCTCCAAAGTTTTCCCTGAATGGCATTAACCCAATCTTATGCAAATATCAAATACTACACTTACCGAATTTTGATTATGGCAGATAAACCACGTCGCTATTTATTGGCTATGATAGTCTTTATAGGAACGAGCGAGCGTATCCGAATAGCTGATTTAGTACATTTCCGTATAGTACGTTTGTACCGCCGGCGGTGCCAACCTTGATTTATCTTTAAATACATAAATTATACAACCGGCTCTGAAGATTTGATGACATCATTATAACGTTCGAGAACTCCTTACAGTTATAATATAATAATATATTTAAAGACTTGAAATAATACATTTTTGTTATAGGAATGACTGGAAACGGACTTCCAACAAGATGAAGTAATCAGAAAGATCAAGTGAGATCTTTGTAATATTTTTTTTTATATAATATCAAGGTGACGGGACGAGCAAGTCGAGCATCTGGTGGCAAGTGACAGGTCTACCCAGGTGCTGTGCCACTTAGAGCTTTAATTGCAAAGATCTGAGAGACACTGCGCTGCGGACGTCAACGAAAAGCCGGGTTTTCACTATACACTCCGATAATTTATTTTTTGACTCTCAACTGCCTCTGTAGCCGAACAGTTACCATGTTGGTCAGCCGCGCAGAGGTCCCAGGTTCGATTCCCAGACCGAGAGAAATATTTGTTTGGCTTACATGTACCTATCGTGAGTTTGGGTATAATTTGTGGTTGTCCAAGTATATATCCATGGCTTCCGCGATATAGGGTTTCCCTAGGCGGATTTGAGTGTAAAACATAATATGAAAAATATTGATTGACATCAAAATTAATCTTATACAATCGATACTTTCCTTACGAGTGTAGCGAGAGTGCCGCGGGAATTGTATAAAATGTCATTATACTGAGTGAAAATAGCTCAGTCGTTGTTACATCGATCATTACGCACCCGTTCATAACGAAGAATTCCTTGTAAGCAATAATTTAATATATTATATTCTTTAGCAGGCCATAAAGAAGACAACACTGAGTAAGGCAAAGACGAGGTATTTTTAACTGGGAAGTTTACAATATAATATTACAATATAAGATATAGTATGGCAAGCTACACGAGTCGAAGATGCATATCTCTTAATAATGTGCCTGACATGTCCAATAGAAAGCGGTACCTGCAGAATTTACTGCATAAATTGACAGATATACCTCTTGAGAAACGGGAAAGCATACTGTCTTTATCGGCTATTTAACAGCGCCGTCTAGACTTGAAAGTTATATCTTAAAACCTAATACAGAGCGTATTTTTGATGCGCGTTTCCCGAACCGATTCAAAAGCGCGTTCAAAGCGCATCTGTATCGCGTTTTAATCGATTCCAACCCACGCAAATATGTACTTCGAAGAGAAAAAACGACGGCGGAAAGACGCGCGTTTACGCGCAGTCGTTTGTATCGCCGTATAACACATACACGCACAGCATATTTATGCGCGCGCAAGTTTACGGCGCCATTGAATCTCGTTTGAATTGCATCGTAATTTAGCGTAATGCATAAAATGTTTTAAATAAGTAAAGAAAATTAACAGTATAGTCTGATCGAGGAACATATTGTCTGATAGAATGCCTTGAAGAGGGGAAGGAATGCTTGTACTCCGCTAGACAATACATTGGTACACAATTAAAATGAAAAACCGCCAGCAGAAATGCCGGTGGAGGGTTAGAGCACGCCATCTAAAGCCAAGAATATCACAAACAAATTACCTCTTGTCGATTCACAAATAATTGAAACGAAGATTGGTTTTCCATTGTAGTTCCAATCCTAAATAGTTTGATTTTCATAAGCCGCAATGGCAGCGCTGTCGAAACTTTTAGATTAAAAAGTAATGTATTATGAATAAAGGCCGCTTTCATTTCCCAAATTCTAAGCTATTCAAATTATTCTATTTATTGTAAGTAGTATTTTTCTGACGCGCTCAAATATGGAATTTTTAGCTGTATTTTATACTGATTTTTTGCGAGCTTTGTCGGTCAATTTTATTCTCTGATTGAATGAAACTTGTGAATAATAATATTTAGTAGCAGAAGAGTTCCTTGTGAAAAAATCGTCCATAGAAGTACGACGACTAAGTAACGTAAATAGCCACCTTACCAATTTCTGCCACAAGGCACTAACATGCGCATTACTGCATATATGCACATAGGACTTGTCAAGGTAACAAGCGCAGTGGTAGTGCCCAACAGGTCTTTGCGATCTAAAGCTCTGAGTGGCACTGCAACTGACATGGTCTGGAGTGTATATCACCATCAGTCACTTGGTATTATATAAAAAAAAATTTAGAAACATCTTCTAAACTGATAAAGAAACCGGAATCTCCACGCCTACAGTAACTACTGCTTGGTCACCAAGGTGAAGTACCATTATGCAAGAAAACAATTGAAAACTATGCAAGAAACTGTTGTCTGCGCAAAACTTTGTCTACATCTGAAATATAATCCTGTTTTTCATCTCAATGATCTTGAGTTTTATGGTAAACAAATTGACTTATGAGTTACATAATATCGTAGTACAGGAAAATATATTTAGGAACTTTTTCCAATTTTCCGTGTGATTTACAAACATCAGCACACAGTTGCCAAGAAAAACAAAAGATTCAAGAAAGAAAATATCTATTCCATGAAATGGATCCGCTTGACCTGTTTCTGTGATATCCTTGCAACTCGATGCGATTACAAAACGACCCGCAGCTTCGTTTAACACAACGTTTGAATAAAACATTTAATAATACAGCGCTTTTTATACTTACATTTTTTATGAAAAGCACGACGAAGTAGGTTGTTTGCAAATTTATGACTTGTTGAAGAAATAAGGAAGCATTTCGAACGTTGCTAATGTATAATCGCGTATATTTGTGTTTTTAAACAACTTAACTGACCCTTAACTCATGGTCACGGTTGACTGACGTCAGTTCAACTGGTTTGTTTGAAAAAAAAAAAAAACAATTATACGCGGTGGAGATCCAAAAAAAAATGTATCATTTTCTACGTGTAACAATCGGTGAAACCATAAGAACTTGATATGAACTCTTTGGATTTAAAATTACGTGCTAACTGTGATGTAAATAAGTAATCTGCGTTGATATTTTAACTTTTTTTCTTCAGTGATAGTGATTGCGCTGTTGCCACTTATTTAGGTTAACAAGTAAGGTTAAAGAGTGGTAAAGATAGTAGAATAGATAAATAATGGTAAATAGACTTACAATTGAAGTAAGAAGAAGAAATTGCTTTTAAATAGTAATTCCGGCTCTTTACCAAGGAGCGACGCGTCTGAATAAAACATAAAACACGGCAACGCTGTCGTCACTCGGCGTGAGTGTTGACTCACGTTACAAAAATGTGTCGTTCTTTTTGTACAGGCGTTTTGTATTTTCTTGCTAAACTCTAACGAGCCGTTATAAGAACTTTTTGTGTTCAAATAATAATGTTTATGGCACAAATGAGCTGAAACCGCCATTTAACTTAACTGTGAGGAATACTAAGGCAAAGTACCCTCACAGATTTGCTTTTACTTTGAGTTTGTCTAAGAAAATTATAACACGTATTAAAAATGTAACGTAAGGCTGCATTTTCACCAGAGATGTGCGAGGTAGCTAGGTGGTGTGCGAGGACAAAATCCACCAATAGGATTACTTAATTTTTATAGCCTCGCTTAGCGCAGCTCTCGCGGAGAAGGGCTAGCGGAGCTTAATATTTGTGCATACAAAAAAGAGATGGGTGCGAGGGATTTGAGTGGCGAATGTGTGTGAAGTACGTGAGCGAGCGAGCCGTCGCCTCCGTTCACTACACTGTATCCCACCCGTGCACAGTTGAAAAGAGTCAGCTACTCATCCTTGCACCGCCTAGCCACCTCGCACATCACTGGTGGAACCGCAGCCCCCATCGTTCACACGGACTTGTCAAACAAATCGAATGAACTTTAACGTATTCGGTGTGGAGTGGCGCATGGTATTAATGCATCTCTTTCACTATCTGGCTAGTATTGAAGTATCTTTTGGAAGGAGGGCACACATAATTTAATTAATACAAAATGATCTTTAGTGGAGCAAAGGCCCGTTTTGTAGGACAAAACTGGAATTGTATAATAATGGCAAACATAATACAAAGCCGTTGGCGTGTTCTACGCCAATATAAAAGTGCAACAAAGCGTGGATCCATCACACAAGTGTCCTCAGTCCGTCTTTTAAATGCATGAAAATAAAAACGTGCAGGAAAATGCCGTGTGAACGAAATCTTAGGCTGCCTATAGATTTACACGATTTTTTGACGATTGACACTGTGGTATTTAAAATAGGCGTGACTTTGATAATTCTCGATTTCTGATGTTTGAAAAAAAAAAAAAATATTGTTATTTACAAAGAGCAACCCCAAGCGTTTCTTGCTCATTCTTCTCAAGGGAATCTGCCTTACGAATGAGCGGTAGAGATTAACCAACGTGACGATTTCAAGTGTAACAATGCTTACCTATGAAATAAAGATTATTTTGATTTAGATTTTTTTTTGAAACCTAGAAATGTCCATTTCTGGTGAACCTTTTATAATATTTTGCAATCCAACTCAAATACTTTTGCACTGTGATAACACGTCAGTCTGTCACAAACAGGATAGGTCTCGTTTGCTTTCACGATCAACCTTTGTATCCGTAATAGTGGAAACCAAACTTACCATCTTATTTTTTGCGATTGTCATATTTTTCTATAGCTCGACTAGTCTTTATAGATCGCTTTTTGGATATTTTTGGTAAATCTGAAGATATCCCATTTCCCTTCAGCAGGTATTAAAGAAAAACGATTGTTTTAAACCAATATATGATTATGAAGTACTGTAGTAGATATTTGAAAAGAAATTTTTACTATAAATTGGACTTGACGAATACCGTTTGCGGATCAATACCGATTATTATATTATTATTATTTTGTATTACATAATTGGTTTCGCCCTTAATAAATAAATAATAAATAAAAACACTTTATTCTTCAACACTACAACGAGACATAAAAACTTGAAATAGTAGCTTAAAATCTAAATCAATGTTGAAGAAAAGGTAACAGCCTCAGCAATTAAAAAGCAATAAAAGTATATAATTAAGAAATCACCTCACTCACCGCAATTATAAACTATTATATATACACTACAGAAATTGCAGATAAAATTCCTGTACAAAACCACAAATGATACACGCACCGATCATGCAGCAACAAGTCTAAAATGTATTTTATTACATATATATAATAGAACAGACAGAGAATGAAATTTAATTGTGGATTATTAATTATATTCATTATTATTTAGAGCGGAGTATTTTTCTAGAAAAGAAGACTTAGCTTTGGCTTCAGAAAATACACAACAGACTTGGCTGTATGGACTCAGTCTCCTTTGCCTTTCTAACAAAAACAAAAAATCTACTTTTGTATTTGTGTTTCCATACACGCTATTCAATATTGGATCTTACTATGCAATTACTCAATCAGCTATCATTTCCACGAATAGTATCAATTGACTAAAAGCAATAATATTTGACAATGTTTTTATCGAATTAAATAAAATTATAGCGTTATAGAGTCCGAAACGTGCTCGTATCGATTCTTAGTGGATTCACTAATTACGGGATCCTAGCATCCTTCTGTAGGTATCATAATGTTATTTATACATTAGAATACAGTAAATTTCCGTTTATGTCTACAGCACGTTTAGATGTATTTGTTGAATAACAAAAACAGGAATAAAACATCTTTCTGATAGTTTTCAAATAAAATATTCCCAATTAACCAACGTGTCTTTTTAAAACGGTAGCATTACGTAATATTTGAACTTTTATCATACTGCGAAAGTATGAATATTTGAAAGACTTTTTATCTTCCACTGACTACACGACCATTGCTATTGGAGAACCCACAGCAACATCTTAAAATGAAATATAACATCAGAAACAATTAACCCAATAGTTACATGCAACCTTTATTCTAAGCCTGCAACATTTATTTATTGAATAATATTGAATATCATGATGTGTTATTATTATGATTTTCATATTTTTTTCTACCTCTGTGGCCGAACGGAAGCCATGCTGGTCTACCGCGCAGAGGTCCCGCGTTCGATTCCTGTGGCCGGGAGAAATATTTGTATGGCGTACATTTACTTCTCTCGTAAATTTGGATGCAATTAGTAGTTGTTTAAGTGTGTCTATGGCACCCGTGATACAGGGTTACCCTAGTGCGAAGTTATGGGTGTGTGCGTTATTATTATTTATTATGAACTGGCTTTGTTTAAAATAATAACCCCGTATATAATTATTAACACCAAGATCGAACACTAAGATAGTTTCCTTCCGACTGGATTCGAACCAGCACCTTCAGCATACCGTGTCTGATGATCTCCCAGCTGAGCTACGGAAAGAACAAGCTGGCAGCGGCAGACAGCGGCAACTTAGGAACCTATCTATTTGTTTGGTGCAGACCTTTGTTTTTTGTTTTTTTAACGACTATTTTATCGTAGCGTCATCTGTGAGAAATCTATGAAAGTTTTTCGTCACTGAGTCAGGTACCTTTATAGCTACCAGCGGCTGAAGTGATAAGTTTATTGAATATTACTATGTTTTACTACCATAGTATTCAATTATTAACAAACTAGTTGAGTAATTTCCCAAAAAATAATTGAATATCATGCAAGTAAAACATTGTGATATTCAATAAACTTAATACTAAGTCAAAGTCAAATAATCATTTATTCCGTAAAATCTTTACACTTGAAAACGTCATTTTTTAAGCTATTGCTCATTCACTACGCTGACCTCCATGAGAAGAACGAGCAAGAAACTCTAGGGATTGCTCTTTTCAAATAAACTTAAATGCTATAGAATATGCTTTGAATCATATTTGTGTGGAATCTAGACTCACGCTGTCTTTCCATAGATCTTTATCTAACACCCAGTCTACAATTTTGTAATAAGACTTTTCAATTAAAACGCTTTTAATGTAAATTTTAAACTTAGGAAATGGTAAATTTAATATATGCTCCTGAATCTTATTGTAAAAACGTATACAGTTCCCCATAAAATAATCGTATACCTTAGTTAAACGAAATCGTGTCA